AGAGAGAGAGAGAGAGAGAGAGAGAGAGAGAGAAGGTAAACTTCGAGTGTTCGATTTAAATGGATTCAAAAATTCATTATAATTCAAATCGAGATGGTGAGAACGAGAAAGAACGTTTAAACGGAAGAATTAACGAGAGAGGAATATGGTCGCGATATATTCAAAAGGTCGTTTACTCGTTGATTTTTCGTCCTTCGATTCGACTGCACTGCGTGACCTATAAATTTTCTCGACCTATTTCGACCATAAGCATTTGACGGTCACCCCTTAGATGGCACTGCGAGACACGGCCATCGTTCTACGTAAACTTCGCGCCGATTCAGGGAGGATCAAGGACTGACCTAAATCGGAAAGGCAGCGGGTATCATCTCTTTTTCTCCTTCCAAAACACGTTTGGTCGAACAAGGTCGTTTAATGTCACAACCGAAACCCATAACGTAATTACTACATGAGAATTTTTGTTTATGCTTAGCTGAGAGAGATCGTTACTGGCACGTAATAGTTCCGTATTCTTTCGATCCATCGAACTATTACTTGTCACCGTGCCAAATGTGCAATAACTTTTTAACTGACTACCGGACGGACGACGCGTATCGCACGTGTCGCACAGTTTGAGAAGAGGAAACGCGTGGTAACAGGAGACGCGGTGTAAGTAACATTTCGAAATTCTTGGTCGATAAACGTAAAGCATCGTTGCCAAACGAAAGAAAAAGCAAAACGAAAACCAGGTATTCGAATATGATGTGTTAAAAGTGTTTACAACGCAAGTGTTGTTGTATGTAAACGGTAAATCGAATCGAAGAGACGTGATCTTCGATATAAATACACGTCACATCGATAACAATAAGAATAATAATACGGATAATTGAGTACGATTTCAATAAAAAAATTTCAATTTTCGAAACGTTCGTCATTCCTATTTCGAAATTTTGTGTTATCCGTCGTTGAAATACAGTACGAATAGAATAGTAACATGGTAGTTGTCTCCCATCTTTAGATGCCCGAAATAAACTCTTTTTACTATCTTGTGGTTGATTCTCGACTCTTCGAGTTGATTAGTCATCGAGACTTCGCTCGGTTTTTTTTCTTTCACTTTTTCTCCCTAGGCAACGAGGAGATTATACTTTCACTTGAAAATGCTCCGTTAATGACTTTCGTCATTGCGATCAACAATAACAGCGATATATAGCGGCGGTTCGATTTATGGATAAATTAAAAAACAATTCGAGAAGATCGAGCGAAAGGTATATACACGAGATGATGCGAGAGATTTAACGGTTTGACGGTGAAACGAGAATTGCATATTGATTCGGATAGTAACAGTTGCACAGAGAAGGCATTATATACATTACGGTCAAGTCCGGGCTCGTGCGATGCCCATCTCTCCTCGTCGTGGCGAGGTGAAAGGATTAAATGGGCCAAAATCAGAAGAAAGGAAGGAAGGGATCCTCGATTGTAGAAAATGACACGGGCGACACACAGATATACGTATATAGCGAGGAGGAGACCCATTTATCGGCGTCCGTAGCCGTAGCTGACCTGTTTGCGCGACACGCCGCTTTTCCCTGGAGAGAAAAATCCGGCCTGTTCATCTGAGGCGGAATGGGACTGGGTGAAAGTCGTTCAGGTGATTCGAGGGATGCCGGCCAAAGATAGACACGAGACAATGCTCGATGGCGTTTTATGTAACATGGCAACACACGCTACTCCTCGACTTCATTGGGTCGATCGTAAACCCCTGAGAAAGAAATATACGGTTCGTGATAAACCGTAAGTTATAATTTCCGTTCGGAAAATGATAATATGGAAAGCGTGCGTGATGATAGAATTTAACTCGTGGAACGATGAAATATTAGATTTCATTGATTAAGAGGAGTTGCGAGAAAATTAAAATTGCGTCGAAGCGGTCTTGCAATCGAGTAAAATGTCGAGTCAGAAGACAACTGTCAATTTAAATGATCGGCAAGATTTTTGTAGTGGACAGCGAGAAATGTCGATTAACAATACTATGTGTGTCGCATTATCGCGATAACCACCTAGCAACAAAGAACACACCGTATTACCATGATAATAATATGTGACGACATTGTTTACAATCGAATCGCATTACGATTACAAAGCGTGAGTTAGAATCTCGTGGAACAGGATTCGAGACACCCACGTAGATGCTGATCACGTGTACGGAACGATACGATTCGCAAATAACGGTGTTGTGCTCGTTGCGACCAGTTATATTGCTGTGGGAAGATAGGTAACGTTCGCGTTACGTGAATAAGTGTTCGTAAATTCATAACGAAGCAGAGAGTGGTTTAGAAAGCGGACACGGATTGTACAAAAAACCATATAACTGTACGGTAACGGCAGAATTCATTTTCTATTTGCTAAAAGTAGATTGAAAATATATAACGATATCGTAGCTACTACTGTTATTTAAAAAAATTTAAAAAAGAGATCAAACAATTTCTTTTTTTATTTGAAACTCTCTAAATATCATTGCTCGTGTATTATACTTTTTTTTAAATATGGTCATGCGATTGTATTAATTATATGTATCGCATGATATATCGAGAACCACAGGATTGGAAAATATTTGTATTTAATAAGAACAATTGCGATATTGCGTCTCGAGATGTATTATCGATTGTGGGATACACGTGTAAAAATCCGATAAGAAAAGCTCTATAAGAAGGGCAAATCAACATGGAACGCAATCGATCCGACTGCATTGAGTAATCTTTAATTTTCAGATTGCTCAATGTTGGTTGAAAGTCGCTGCTTGACTTATACGTGAAAACATTCATTCGCAACGAGCTAGGAAAGACGAACAAATTTACGGCAATAACCATTGCAACGCCTGCTATTAGAGAAATCAAAGGATTAATCGCGACGAACTCATCATCCGCGTTGCTGCTTTTTTGGTCAAGGTAATCGTAATGCTTCGCGTGTTATCATGTAAATTTAACTTACTACTACTAATGAATGGTTAAGTTTATGTTATTGTTAAGATTGGCGGGAAAGAAGTTATGGTAAAAATATACCATTCTTAAGCAAACAAAAATCATTAAAAGAAAAAAAAAATTAATAACGAAGTAGTCATAAATTTAACAAAACAATGTGTATATAATTGAAAATTTTTAATCGTATTTAATAATTGGAATAAAACAAGCTTCTTCGATGAAAAAAAAAAAAAATTGAACCTTTTGAATGCAAAAGCAAAAACATAACCAACAAAATGAAAAGTATGTATCTGTACTGTAATGTTTACATAGAAAAAAGATAAAAATAAAAGAATTTTTTAACTTGGCCGACTTTACGCTTTAAACGAACAAAAGCTAATAATAATTATAATAATTACCTTGAAGTATCCTCCTTGGTAAAGAGTATCCGGGGGCCCGAAGATAGCCACTTCCCACTCAAACATGTTGTCCTCGTTAACGAGTTTCACGCGGAATCCCTCGACAGGTTCCTCTTGAAGACTTTTATATTCAAGGGCAAGTGCCCTCAGAGCGCTACTCGTTGTTTGTGCCATATTTTTTTTCTGGAAGTAGAGTTGCAGTCTGTTCCAGGAAGCGGAACGTCCCAAACCTCCTGAAGTGGTAGCACAGAACACTACAGTCGGACGGACGCCTTTGCGAACACTACTCCTTCTCGTGAGAATCAATTTCCAACGGGTTTTCCAGACAATTTACGGTCTTTACTATAATTTTCTTAGCCGTTTCTCAACGTGTCGTGATTTTTCACTCGCGGCAGGACGTTTTCTATGATGATAGTACGATTCTGCACATCAAATAAACAAAGAAATATGATCAGACTAACAAACTGCGAAGTGCCCCTCCAGTCAACAATATACTATTCCCGATACATGCACCTCTAACAAAACAGCTGACGTACCTTCTGCGTCAGCGTTGCTTCTCGCGCATGCGCACTACAATATTCCCTATTTGCTAATATATCATCGATATTTATTAAACGAAAATAAATTTATAACAAATTAATTATTATATTTAAATTGATTCAATAAGTTTTCTTTCATGTTATTTTAATTGACGATTAAAAACTTAGACCAATTTAATATTTCATTTAATAAATATCTAGACTTCCTGTTTCCTGATTGGAAAGTATATCTCCAATCACGTGACGTATAAAGAAACGATATATATATATATATATATATCCTTGTCGCTTAAATCCTTCTTGTTAAAGAGAATTCTGATTGTACATTTTTACATAAATACTAACAGAAATAACCAATCAGTAAAAAGCATCTTGTATTTAACGTATTTTCATTGGATAATATTGGACAAAAATATAAATCTTGTAATTAACGAATTTATAAAATTTCTATATTATTTACACACACACATACACATACACACACATTATATATATATATAAATATTATTTTTTGAATTATATTTTAATTTAATACATATTTGATAAATATAAAGTTATAATAGATATAAAAGATAAAAAATATAACAAATATTCAAATATAAAGAAATACAAAAATATGTATTTACATAGATTTTTAGATAAATATATCAAAGAATATTCTTGCCCCCCTCTTTTTCTCATTTTACGCAGAAAAATATGCTAATGTATGATGATAATTAAATTTTTTAATCTATCCCTACTCTCATACTTTTTAAACATAGTTATATAAATACTTGAAGATTGCAATATCATTTTATAATTTCAGAAACATTTTGCGTGGTTTAACGCAACGTAATTTGAACACACGACGTGATTTATTATTATTATTATTATTCAAATAGTTTATTGAATTAAATTACATCGAATAAGATCAAAATGTCTTTAAATACATCTCTTATAGAACCAGAAATTTTTAAAATTTTTGCATTTTGGGGTATTATACTTGCTTTAAAATTAGTTGCAATGGTTCCATTAACTGCATATTATAGATTTAAAAATAAGGTATGTTTTTCAATAAATGTTTTGTTTTGTCAGTTTTATAATAAATATTGTTTTTATATTTTAAATATAATATATATATATATAAAATTTTATATTACAGATATTTTTAAATCCTGAAGATGCTATAACTCTAAAAGGAGCAAAAGTTGCTAACAATGATCCTGAAATTGAACGTGTACGCAGAGCACATTTAAATGATTTAGAAAATATTCTTATATGGTATATTGTTACATTCGTCTGGTTAACTACAAATCCTTCTATATGGTTAGCTTCACTCTTAATCAGAACCTTTGTAATTGCTAGAATTCTTCACACATTAGTGTATGCTATATTTGCAAAACAACCTCACAGAGTAATAGCTTTTTTTGTAGGCTATGCTACTACTTTATATCAAGCTGTTAATATTTTATTATTTTACATGTAATTTCAATAGTTTTTCTTTACTAAGAAACTTACTTAATCCATTTTCATTTTTATATTATATATATTCTATTATATGTTCTATTTTTTGTAGTACTATTATTAATAAAAGTATATTAAAAAATTATAATACTTAAATTATTCAAAACTTATATGAAAAATCTAGAAAGATAATAAAGAAATATAATATTCATTTTAATAAAAAATATTTTCATCTTATACAATAATATAAAAAAAACTTAGTAACATAAATATAACATACATAATAGATTTATACTTTATATAATTTAATACATATAATCTAAATTATTTTATTGAATGTACATAAGCATTATACATTTATGTGTTTGTCATATTTATTAGTCTTATAAAAAATTTTCAAATTCTATCTTTTGATAGCGTTTAGTTTGTCTCACTTGATTATACAAAATTTATTTTTAAAGAATTTAAAATATAAAATAGAGTAAAAAATTTTATTATAATATAATAAAAATTTGACCTCTCTTATAAATAACTTATCAATACAGATATTGGTCGAAGAAGATATCTTTGGACAAAGTTCATTTTAATATTTGGTATTAACGTTGATATATTATATATTCTAAGAGTAAAAATAAACTTACTTATTTTTTAGAAAAATACAATATGATCTTCAAATCCAAACTTGAAATTTTTTTTTAAATAAAGTTATTTTAATATTTTAATTTTAAGTTTATTGCAATAATCTCTTTATGATTATAATAATAAGAATTATAATATAATATAGAAAATATCAAAATCAAGCTAAATTTTAATTTAATAATTATAATTTTATAGATTTATTTTTGAAACACAAAATACTGTTCTTTTTAAATTTTTGCAATTATATCTCTTTGTTTTTAATTTCTCATTATTATTTTATCATTATCATAGTGGTATTATATAAAAGGTATTAATGGTTGAAAGTGTAGTAAAGTGTAGTTATGAACAAATATCAATACATTTTATTATATGCATTTTCATTGTAGAATCAGGAATATTTACTATTTAAATATTAACAAAAGTCACGCATAAAGTGAATTTATTTATAATTAACAAGATATTGTGAAACTTCACATAAACTATAACATTATTAATATTAAAATTTTAGTCGTCATTTTCTTTTTCTTTAATCATTATGTATATTTCTAAAATAAATATATATAAATAAATATAGACTTAAAATATACAATTGTTTTTATATTTTATAAACAATAAATATCGATCGAAATACACTCACCATATTTTCTACGGTTATCGACCGAATATTTTAGCAAAAGTTTTTATAGTTTTATTTCTTATAATCCGAATATTGCCGCGTATAATTTATAGAATAGAAACATGTTGCGCGTGTACGAAGATTGTTATGCGCGGTCGTCATGACGACGCTACTTCGACGCCAATGGGCGCGGGAACGTCAGACGTCGCGATGTGTCTGTGAGGTGCGAACCGCCGTCGGTGCAACGGCGTTTCGCCGTTACCGAATGTGTGCCAAACGTTCGTTCAATTTCGTCGGATAACAATGCGTTGTTTGAAATTGCATCCCTCCAGCCGATTAACATCACAACATCGCGATTTGGCAATGATCGAACAACCACTGTCATCTTTCTACGAGACGTTGATCGATACATCATATAGAAACGTCGCTAGAATGGTGTAACTGAAGGTAAGTTTAATCTTTCAAATTTTTCGAAAAACTTTCTTATAATATTTACAACAAAAGTATGCGGTATACGTATTTGGAAGTGAAAGAGAAGATGAAACATTGATATTTTTTTATCATTTGTTACTTTTTTCTCGTAATCATTTTTTAAAACAAATTAATTCAAATGTTTAATAATTTAATTTTCAAATACAAAAATTAGAAAAAAAATGTAATATTAAGTGAAGAACATAAAATAAGTTCTTTTTTTTTTATTCGATAAAAGTATATGTAAAAAGTACGATATATAAAACGTGAAATAAATTTTTACAGCCTATTTTTTTTTAATTTCCAAAACTATAAAAAAGTTTTTTCCGCAGATATTTATTCTATAAAAAAAAACAAAAATTATTTTTCAACGAAAATTTAAAATTGAAAATTTTACATCTAGGTACCGTCGGTAACATTTTCAAAGCACTTAATCACTATATCGTATCGTAGACAGCGGTGTAATAAAGGTTGCCGTTTTGCAGGAGCAGTGCACATTATCCGATTTTCTCACAAGCGTAGAGCGTTTCCTTTGACACCATAACGTTTCAATGAGATATCGATCAATCGTGATAACGCGATTAATTATTATTTAGAAAAGGTGCATAAGCTAAGGATTAAGTTTATTAATTAAAATTATTATTCGTACAAAGTGATAAATTTAGCACACATAGTATACCCTCGATTAATATTGCACCACGAACAACAGTAGTACATTAATGCGACAATTGCCATTGATTTTTCATCGCATTTACTTCTACCTACCATTCATTACATTCCAAGCGTATGTGGATCGCGATATAGCCCGTTCTTTCACATACCGTGTTCATGTACATTCTATTGTTTCATCAATAGAATCACTCTGGTAACCACATCTGCAGCGCTAAAAAGATGTGTACTGTATATCCTCGTGAATCCCGATAAATAAAATTCTATGCAAGCAAGATAGGCCGAAAAATATTAATATCAATATTAATAGGTTGATTAGATTATCCACTCGAGGCACTCGTGCACGGTTATATACGTGGACGTACGAGCGTATTGACCCCTCTGATCCGTTCTCGAGCTCTAAGAGATCTTGGTTTGTACGTGCCTGTGGCCGGCTCCGCGCGCGGTTATCGATAGTCACGACTATTTGTCACGTGGTTTCGTCTTACGCGCCAACACCGCACGAAATTGCATTGCCTCGTATCGGCTGTCGCGCGCTCGATCCGTGCCCGGCCATGATTCAATTTCTGCCAGAATTAATATCAAGTTCGTAATTGCATTTCCATTGATATCACGACGGGTCGCGGTTGACTATCCTTTCTATCCGAAATCTCTGTCTTCGTATCGGGTATTTCGACGATAGATTAGATTGATCAACGTCATTCCATACTTTTCCACGTTCAATGTTTCTGTCTCCTTTTCATCGTGCAACTCCCCTCCTCCGCCATATTCTTTTCGTTTGCAACGCAACGATCGTTTCGAATTGGGTCTGGGTAGACCAGTTTCTCAAGTACAAAATAAGAAGAAGAAGAAGAAGAAGAAGAGAAAGATGATTAATTTGGCCGTGTGTTGCCTATTGTACGGGGGCGATCTTACTTGTAAAATCGACAACCGCTGCGCAAGTCGGTAATTTAGTGTCACGGTCGTATGAGACGCGATCTCTCGTCTTACTTGCGTACTACTTGCGTATCGCTGGTCACGTGGTGGGTGCGTTGCCAACGCTCTCCGATATTCATTGCCACGTATTTAAGGATCAAGTCGGTGGGCATCTGTATCCCGTGAGCAAGCCGAACGAAACGGTGTGTGACATCATTTGCCGGGTTTGCAAATGCATCATCGTATCATCCCCATCGCGAGA